CTTGGCGGCTCCCCCGTGGGGGTGCTGTTCTCCCGCGCCTCGCTCGAACCACCATCCTCAGAATTTGCCCCATCATCATCATCATCAGCATCATCAGCATCATCACCGTTCGCATCATCACCAACATCATCATCATCAACATCATCATGCCATACCATATCATATCATACCATGGCGTACCAGACACACCAGACCATACCATAATATGCCATACCATACCATAACATGCCATACCGTACCATGGCATTGCATACCATGACATACCATATTATATCACACCATACAATATTATACCGTATCATAGCATGCGGTATCTTTTTATGTCATGAGGAGGAGGAGGAGGAGGAGGAGGAGGAGGAGGAGGAGGAGGAGGAGGAATCTAAAGATGGATAAGGAGTTGGCGCGGTCGGAGTAATAGCAATAACCCCATATTTGGGGTATGGAGAATAACAAGAGCTCATCCTTGGGATATGGAGCAAACAAATGCACAATGTTTCCTTGCATCGAAGGCCAGCAAAAACCACACAGAACAACGTGCGCAGCGTTTCCTTGCGCTGAGGGCGCCGAATGATGTCTGGTATTGGTTCTGCATTGCAGCGAAGGGAGGAAGGGAAGGGGAATAGGAGGGGGAGGAGAACGAGGAGGAGGAGGAGGAGGAGGAGGAGGAGGAGGAGGAGGAGGAGGAGGAGGAGGAGGAGGAGGGGAGGAGGAGGAGGAGGAGGAGGAGAGGAGGCGGAGGAGGAGGAGGAGGAGGAGGAGGAGGAGGAGGAGGAGGAGGAGAGGAGGAGGAGGGGTGGAGGAGGGGGAGGAGGAGCAGGGGCAGGAGGAGGAGGAGGAGGAGGAGGAGGAAGAGGAGGAGGAGGAGGTCGAGGAGGAGGAGGAGGAGGAGGGAGGAGGAGGAGGAGGAGGAGGAGGAGGAGGAGGAGGAGGAAGGGGGGGAGGATGAGCAGGGGCAGTGGAGGAGGAGGAGGAGGAGGAGGAGGAGGAGGAGGAGGAGGAGGAGCAGGAGGAAGAGGAGGAGGAGGAGGAGGAGGAGGAGGAGGAGGAGGAGGAGGAAAGGAGGGGGCAAAACGAAGGGAGAGGACAACGGGGAAGAAGCAGAGAAGGAGAGAGAGGTGTGATCGCATGGAGAGGGGGGGGCATATTCGTATTTCTGTATTTTATAACCGGACCCCCCCCCGAGACCGGACCCCCCCCAGGGACGCCCCGGACCCGTTTCGGACGTCTCGACGGCCCCCTGGACGCCCTTGGAAAAGGTCCGTTGGCCCTTCCGGGCCTCCCAGGGCGCCTTGCCGGGCTTTGCGAGCAGACTCAAGGCGATCAGAGGGGTCATCGGAGAGGCGCAATAGAGACCTAAGACAGCACAGTGCGCTCCAACAGGAACTTCGATGGTCCGAAGACGGCCCAAGAGGCCCCCAAGACGCCCCAAGAGGCCGTTAAGAGAACCCCGAAGAAGCAAACATCGTCCCACTCCATAAGGCAAATACTTATTTGTAGCATCTCGGCTAGGGTCTTCGCAGCGTCGAAGACGGCCCGATGGGTCCCCGATATCGCCCCAAAACGGCCCAAGAGGCCCCCCAGAGGGTTTGAAGACATCCCATGAGGGCCCCCAAAACTGCCGCAGCGAGCTCCGAGACTGCCCACAAGAAACCTAGGATGCCCCCCAGAAGGCTCCCAAGAGGGGCCCACGAAAGCCATGGGAGACCCACACAAAGGCCACTGGAGGCCCCCAAGAGGGTCCCAGATGGCTTCAGAAGACCTCTGGAGGGCCCCCGCTCCCCAAAACGGCCCAAGAAGGCCTCAGGACGGCCCAAGAGGGCCCCAGGACGGCCCAAAAGAGCCCTCAAACGCCCAGACGGCACTTTTCTACGAAGTACAACAAGCTGTCCCGAAGATTTGGTTCCACGCGTGAGGCTCGAGGTTTAAGTTCTTCGATCGAGAGAGACAGGCAGTGGACCTAGATTCGAAGGAGATATCCTGAGTGCCTGGGGCCCTCCAGGCATTCAGGAAACGACCAAACATCGATTTGTTCGGAGCTACTGCGACTTCTTCGGCGTGTCGTGGGAACGCTCCTTACGTCCTCAAAGGACCTTTGCGCTTGAAAAACAACATCCTTCCCCACTCCTGCGCACAAGCGTGCAAGCGCATCGGGCGAACGCAGTGTCGCACCAGGGATATCAGAAAAATGAGCGGGTCGCCCGTCCAGGCCTAGAGGGCCCCCCTGCTAAAGCAAACGATGATTTATTGCTTTGCCGGGGAAGCGTCCGGAACAAGGCGCATGGTGCGAAACGCCACTGCGCTCTTGCATGTATGTATGTATACATGTATGTATGTACGTATGTAGACATGCATACACACATACACACATACTTACATCTAGGCACATGCATACATTGATATGTACATGCCACTATATGTATATGTACATGTATATGTTTATGCATATGTATGTGTATATGTACATGCATATGTACATGCATATGCACATGTGAGCATGTATATGTAGATGCATTGGTATATGCCTTTTGTTTTATGTATTTGTGTATGAATATATGCACATATATGTACGTATATGTGCATGCGTTTGCCAAATTTTATGTTTATGTTTATGTACTTGTATGTGTCTATGTACATGTATATGTATACGTATCAGCATGTTTATGTCCATGCATATGCAGATGTCTGTGCATACGTAAATGTATATGTGTATGCATGTGCGTGTATACAACTGTTATTATGTCTAATGCATAGGTTGCGCCGCGTATGTTGCGCCGCGCATGTTTTCCCAAATGGATGGGAGAACGCGTATCGCGCCACATAGACTCTCTTCTGTATAAAGAAATAAGACCGACTCCCGCCTGCGTAAACCGTCCGGCCCCGCTCCCTGCAACTTACGTGTGGCTCTGTCCCATTCTTCGCTCTGAGTATGAATTCGTATCTTCCCGACAAAATGCCATTCTCTCTTTTATCCCTGACAAATAATGTCTTGCGCGAGCAGTCGTTCATCAAACATCATCTGGTCGTTTGCAACATACTTTTTGACACTTCGCGTATCCCCGCCATCCCGTCCATAAGCGGTGCCCATGAGAGCTGACGGGGGTCTCTCTTCGGGTACCCTTTGGGACTATCTTGGAGGAGATCGATCAAAGACGGGGGGAACATCACTTGGCCTCTTGGCGGCCTCCTGGGGGCTCCGTCGCCATATCGAGCCGTCTTGGAACGGTTTTGGGGCCTCTTGAAGCGTCTTGGGAGCTATCTTGAGCCAGCTTGGGATGTCATCTTGGGCCGTCTGAGGCCGCTCGGGGGTTTCCTGGGTGGCTCTCGGGTGCCTCTTGGAGGCCTCTCGGAGGCCTCCTGGGGTCTCTAGTGGCGCGGTTGGAGCCCTTTTGGGGGCCTCTTGGGAGCCGTGTGGGGGCCTCTGGGGGCCATTTTGGAGGCCGTCGGTCGAAAAAGGGGGGTCCCAGATGAATGTGTCCCCTGATCTCGGATCCTCGATCAATAACGGGTTCCGCAGACACACGTTGTCCGTGTAAGACGGTGTGCGGAGCGTTTTGCGCAGAATCCACAAAACGAGTAGTCATAGAGATTTTCGATCTTTACAACAAATATGAGACGGTTGACTTTTAGCGTGCCCGCTCGAGGATGGGGCGCGTCCTGCGCGCAGGAATTTCGAGGACGTCTCTGACGAAACGCTTGTTTTGCAGGACTCGAGCGGCCTGGGCGACCCAGGATGCCCAGGTGATTCTGGGAGCCTAAACACAACGTCAATTATTAGGGAACGTGGCCGTGGGAGCGCGGACACATGGTAATGCTGCACGAGGGAGCGCGGCCCTGGGAGCGCGGACGCAGCGTAGTTTAGGAGAGATCGTGGCCCAGGGAGAGCGGACGCAGCGTAATTTACGATGGATCCTGGTCCTGGGAGCGCGGACCCAGCGTAATCTACGATGGAGCGCGGTCCTGGGAGCGCGGACGCAGAGTAATTTACGAGGGGTCCTGGTCCTGGGGGGGTGGACGCAATGTAATGCACTGGGGAACGTGGCCCTGAGGACGCAGCGTAATTTACGAGGGATCGTGGCCCACGGAGAGCGGACACAACGTAATTGTCGATGGATCGTGGCCCTGGGAGCGCGGACGCAGCGTAATTTATAATGGATCGTGGCCCTGGGAGCACGGTCGCAGCGGGATCCTGGCCCTGGGTCAGGGACGTCCCATGGCACGTTCCTTGATGCGCTCCTACCGCGTTCCCTGGCGCGTCGCCTGGCACGTTCCCTGGCACGTTCCGTGGCGCGTCTCGTGGCGAGTCCCCCTGGCACGTCGCGCGGCGCGTCCCCTGGCACGTCCCGTGGCGCGTCCACTGGCACGTTCCATGGTGCGTCCCCTTGGCACGTCCCGCGGTGCGTCCCCATGGCACGTCCCCTGGCACGTCCCCTGGCACGTCCGCCTGGCATGTCCCCCTGGCATCGCCCAATTGCATATGCAATTGAGGTCCTTGAAAACGGTTCCATGGCTCGCAGTTCGCAATCCCTTTCCGGGTTCATGTGTCGATCATGTTTTCGCTATTTGGAGCTCTGGGGGCTTCTTCAGCTCCGGTTAGAGTCCTGCTGGCGGTCTCGGGGGCGATTTTGTGGAGAAGGGCTCCAGTTCCCGCGTTTGGATCCTTCTAGTGTCGTCTTGGGGCTTCATGAGCTCCTTGGGAGCCGCTTCGGGGCGATCTTGGGGGACTGGGGCCATCTTAGACGCTCTGAAGACCGAAGGCCCAACAATGCTAACATCCCACAGCCATCATGTTTTTCAATGATTTGATTTCCTTGGGTTGGCCTCCTGGTCACCCAAGGCGGCCAAGTTGTCCCCAAGAGATTCTGGTCCCTGTTGCCATCTTGGGACGCGATGGAAGGCATGTGCTTTGCCACCCACGCTCCCGAGGCTCGCGAAAACATCGCTCGGGAAGCCCCGAGAGCGCCCCAGAGCGCCCGTGAGATGGATATGTCGTGTCATTTTAAAGAGTATTCGCAACACTCAATGTTGCAGATGAGAGTTCTGAGGATGCTTCGCTCAGAGCCTGCGGCACGACAGCGGATTGACTGGAAAGAAATAAAAGGTGTTGAAGCACATTTGCGACGGCAAGCGCGGTGGCGGATATTCTGGCTGCCGTAGTACAGCTAGCGGGTACCATTCACGTGAGTTTTGGTGCGTGAGCATGCTGCTCCAATCTGGACGCAATCGGCGCAGAGCGTGTCACGCATTCGAGGCAGGAGATGCAACAGCTCTGGCTCAAGACGAGCGAAAGTGGAGCTGACCCAACCAGGACCCACACCCAGCCAGGACTCACATCCACCAAGGTCCCGTGGGGATGGCAGGCTTGGTGGATCCTCCCGCGAACCTGAAGGGACCCGACCTGATTGAGAAGAACAAGTGGTTCATTTACATTTGCTGCGGAGGCTGCGGTTGGGGAGACTGGAAGGACCCCCTGTGCGGCTCCGACGTCGAGGACCTGACCCAGAAGGCGACGTGCAACACGACGTCGTTGATGAACGACGACGGGCTCTGCGCGTGCTTGAACTTTCAGATGAACCAGACGGCGCAGTGCCAGTGCCCACCCGTGGATGGCGCGCCGAAGTGCGTCTGCTTCAACATTCCCCTCGTGCCGGGAGGGGGCATGAGCAAAAAGAAGGGGGACGTCGAGTACCAGGCGATTTTCGGGGACACCTGGTGGTACACCTACATCTTCTGCGGCGGTTACGGCTGCAACGGTCTGAAGGCTCTGGATCGCCCGATGATTGCAGGATACCAGAAGTTCTTGATCGTCGAGGGGTCTATGGGTTTGAACGAGAAGAACGAGTGGCCTGGAGCGGGCAACGGCATGACGAAGTGCACGGCTGGCCTTTGCAGCGGCGACAACGTTTGCATGCAGTCTGTGGAGACGTGCCTGTGTATTTACACGCAGGTCAAGATCCCGCCAGAGCAGGGCGCCAAGAAGTGTGTTTGCTGCGCGAAGGACATCGTTCCTTGAGGCACGCGAGGAGGAGTCCCGGCTGGGCTCTTCGCGCACGCGTAAGTACTCACCGGGGTGGCATGGTCGCGATCTTCGTTTTGAAATTTCAGTGCAAGTGATCTCCAACGTTGGAGAGCCTCGCGTGTTTCGGCTGATGCTGTGTTTTGCCACGGATTTGTCGCCCTGCCCTTTTTGGTGTGCGACACCGCGGTGCGACCGAAACATTGTGGTGGCTGTCTGCGAGGGCTACGGTGTCGCCTCTCAAGCTTGGGTTTGACGCCGACCCTTCTCCTTTGCAGCTCTTCTGCTCCCACCAGACATCCCGAGGCTGGTCGATCCGGCCTCGGGCGGACTGCCCGTGTGATTGAGGCCAGCGGCTCGAGACGAGCACTCGTGTGTTGGGCTCTCTGCAAAACGCGCGCATGTGTCCTGTCGGCCGAGGCGCCCCGAATGGCATGGCCGCTGGGCTCCTTTAGAGTGTCCGAGAGACAATGGTACGATCTGTGTGCTTCACGGGGGAGCAGTGTCTCGGGTGTTGCCCGAAGTGTCCTTGGCCCAAGGTCTCTCCAGCTTTCCCAGGAAAGCGCAGATGGTCTCGGAGCACCCCTCGCGAGGTCCAGAGCGCCCTGAAGGCCATGCATCGGCACGGAGAGCAGGGAGCACCTTGGGCCGGGACCACTCCTGGCGACACCCGAGTGCTGCGATCAGTATCAGCAGCGGCGACGCATCGCTTCGCCAGGGCTACCTCTGCAGCTTTGTAGCCCGTCCTTCCCCACCTCTGGCTTTCCGCCCGACCCCGCAGCAGTCGTGCCAACCTGGACGTCCCAGGACCGTGCATCCTCACCCTGCGTCCGTGTCTTTGATCTTGACTGCAATGCCGCCACCCCTCTGAAGCAGAGGAGGCCAGCGGCTCTTGTCGCCACCGTGGGCTGGCGACTTCGGGCAGCCTGTCATCCGCGGACGATATGTGTGCACAGTGCCGCCTTGGCGTCTCCCGAGGCGTTGTCGATCTTCGGCCCAGGACTTGTACGGTGCATCGTCTATCGGCCCTTGGAGCCGAAAAACTGTGCACCGTACCGCGTTGGAACGAGGCCTGAACAGAGGTCAAACATGGTACGGTGCATAAGCGCCGTTCTCGTATGTCACGCCCGGACAGGATCGGGCAAGTCAATTTGGGGGTGGAGGGGAGAAGGAGGAGGAGGAGGGCTAGGAAGGCAGGAGGAATGATGATGATGATGATGATGATGATGATGATGATGATGATGATGATGATGATGATGATGATGAGGATGAGGATGAGGATGAGGATGATGATATGATGATGATGATGATGATGATGATGATGATGATGATGATGATGATGATGATGCTGATGCTGATGCTGATGCTGATGCTGATGCTGATGCTGATGCTGATGCTGATGCTGCTGATGCTGATGCTGATGCTGATGCTGATGCTGATGATGATGATGATGATGAGGAGGAGGAGGAGGAGGAGGAGGAGAAGGAGGATAATGAGGAGGAGGAGGAGGAGGAGGATCTGAGGGAGGAGGAAGAGGAGGACGAGAATGGAAGGGAGGACTAGTACACACCTATGACGCATCAACGATGATGCAATTCATCCTCCCTCCAAGTTCCCTCTTCACATGTTCCTGCAATACATGGCGGGACGTACTCCATAGAAAGGCAACCGTTTGAGAATCTCCAATCGCACCAACATACAGTTTTTGGGACTTCAGCGACGCGAATCGACGTGACTGATGCATCATGACAATCCTAAGTCGGGCTAGAACGCCGTTCCTGGGACTTCAGCCCAGCGAGCCCGGATACAAATTCGCGGGGCGTTGAGGCGAGAGCCACATGTTCAAACGAAACCGCCCTCTACCTGTGAAACTGTTGCAAGTTTGCAAGACGAATGCGCGGGGCAACTTTGGAAATGGAACCGCCCTCCATCCGTGAAGCTGGTTCCGACGCGTCTGGGGGCGCGACAGGGATGAGTTATTGATGTGGAAAAGGGATGGCTGAGAGTGAGGAGGAGGTGGAGGACGGATGGCGGAGGAGGAATGGAGAATCATATAGGTTCAGCCCGTTGACGATGGGCTGCAGACACCCCCTGTTGCTTATGGTCTTCAGTCTGTTGACGATGCAGTTGAGGGGGAGGAAGGGAAGATGGGAATGGAAGAGGATGCGGATATGGAGGAGGAGGAGGAGGAGGTGAAGGAGGAGGAGGAGGAGAAGGAGAGGGGAGGAGGAGAGGGGAGGAGCATTTACGGAGGGATCGTTACGGCAGTAGCAGGATGAGGGAGATTTTCTGGGCGGTGTCAGAGGTTTTCGGAGACTTTTAAAGGCTTCAGGTGGTTATCTGGGGGTCTGAAGGTGCCAGAGATCTTGTGGAAGCAGGCAACAGGTTTAGGAGGGAAGCGAGGGGTAGAGTTATTCTCCTTCTTCCCCTTATGCTCCTTTCCCCTCCTCTTCCCCCATGCTGCTCGCTGAGATCAGGGTTCAAAGGTCAACCTGAAATTTGCTCCATCGGTCTTGGGCACACGTTTCGATTGCGTGGCAGCCCCTCCCGATTTGTTGACTTAGGTGATCTGCTTCCCGAGCAAAGGGAGCAACACCAGGGACTAATTTTCTCCAGCCAAGGTTTTCTTACCCAGGGTGTCGGTGCCAGACATTCTCCGCTTGTAGTTGAGAGGGTGGGGTGAACTTTACAGAATTCAAGCCACCCTCCCTGCAGCACATGCGCGTGTTAGCACTCGATTTGTCAGAGTCTGGCTCAAGACGAGCGAGATAGGAGCTGGTCCCTGTCTTCTTCCAAGCATCTAGCCAGGACTTGTGTCCATCAAGGTCCCATAGGGATGGCAGGCTTGGTGGATCCTCCCGCGAACCTGAAGGGGCCCGACCTGATTGAGAAGAACAAGTGGTTCATTTACATTTGCTGCGGAGGCTGTGGTTGGGGAGACTGGAAGGACCCCCTGTGCGGCTCCGACGTCGAGGACCTGACCCAGAAGGCGACGTGCAACACGACGTCGTTGATGAACGACGACGGGCTCTGCGCGTGCTTGAACTTTCAGATGAACCAGACGGCGCAGTGCCAGTGCCCACCCGTGGATGGCGCGCCGAAGTGCGTCTGCTTCAACATTCCCCTCGTGCCGGGAGGGGGCATGAGCAAGAAGAAGGGGGACGTTGAGTACCAGGCGATCTTCGGGGACACCTGGTGGTACACCTACATCTTCTGCGGCGGTTATGGCTGCAACGGTCTGAAGGCTCTGGATCGCCCGATGATTGCAGGATACCAGAAGTTCTTGATCGTCGAGGGGTCTATGGGATTGAACGAGAAGAACGAGTGGCCTGGAGCGGGCAACGGCATGACGAAGTGCACGGCTGGCCTTTGCAGCGGCGACAACGTTTGCATGCAGTCTGTGGAGACGTGCCTGTGTATTTACACGCAGGTCAAGATCCCGCCAGAGCAGGGCGCAAAGAAGTGTGTTTGCTGCGCGAAGGACATTGTTCCTTGAGGCACGCGAGGAGGAGTCCCGGCTGGGCTCTTCGCGCACAAGACGCATGTGTAGCGTTTAGACGCAGGTCATTTCAAATATGAGAGAGCCCCCTGTGTTTCGAACTGATGCCTTATTCAATTAAACGCCCCCGAGGGGGTAGACACCGCCGCCCTACGTTTTTGGACAAGTGGAGACTTTTGGAGGCTTGGTGGAGAAGGAGGATGGCAATTCAAATGGTCTTAGAGTGCGAGAGGGGGAGTCCAAGACGGTCCTACAGGGCCTCCCAACGCGCTAAAAACTGCACAAGAGGGCCCCAAGAGGGCTCCAAGAGGCTCCGAAAACGGCTCCAAAAGGCACTCAAAGGCGTCGGAAATGGCGGACGAAACCGAAGAGGGATACGGAGAGGGAAATGAAAGCTGCGGGAGTTAGTTTTTTGGCCTCGGACTGCCCTCCAGGGACCCCCTGGGCGCGCCCAAGACGGCTCAAGAGGAATCCGAAATGGCGGCCCGACGGCCTAAGATGGGATCGAGAGGCCTTGAGGACGGCTCTAGAGGCCTTGGAGATGATCCAACATGGCCGGAGAGGCCCCAAGAGTGCCACAAGAGGCTGCATGAGAGCTCCAACAGGCGCAAGGAGAAATCTGACGGGTTGTCGGCTCAACATGAATCGAAAAGGGCTTCGGGAGGGTCCGAGACGGCTCCAGAGGGCCCCGGGGACGGGCCAAACGAGCCCAAAATGGCCCAAAGGGGCTTCCAAGAGTGCCCAGGAGGGCTTCAGGGAGGTCCCGAACGGCGCCCGGAGGCGTCTGGAAGTCTCCCGTGCGAAGGCGTGCTTCAGTCGATAGCAAAATGGCGGCCAGCGGACGCCCGTTGTGCATCCGGGGCCTTGGGCCAGCGGAGTGAGCAGGCCGCTGGGAGGACCCAATGAGGGTTGCGAGGGCTCTTTGGAAAGGTACGTGTACGAGCAATGCGTGTGTAAGACGATTGAGGGGAAACAGTCCTTGCAGACCCTGCGGCGGGGGCCCCTTCCGCCGGTCCATGGGAAGAGCTCAAAATCTCAATTCGGATTCTCCCTCTTGAGGGCTTTTAAGGCCTCTGAAGCCCTTTGGGGGTCTTTTGGGTCGCCAGCCCTCTTGGGCTGCTTTGAGGCCTCTTGAGGGCCTCCTGGTCTGTCTCTTGGGGCGATCTTGGGTGCTTGTGAATCTCTGGCACATTTTTGTGGTTAGGTTAGGTTTTAGTGTCCTTGACCCGGGCCCAGGGGATTGGGCCCTCTCTGGTACCTGTACGCCTTACTGGCTCAAGTCCAAAACCATGTGCTGCTGCTCCTGCTGCCACAGTTGGTAGCGGAGCCGTGTGAGCTCCATGGCCAAAGTTGCCCGCCCGTCGCGCATGGCGCGCGCCGGCGGCTGCGCTCAAGAGCTCCATGAGGACGCACGGCTTCCATCAGCCGACGTGCGTGGGATCCACGGCATGCCCGCCGACGGAGAAGGCGGGGAACCCCATAGGACCGAGACTTTCGCGACGCTCGCCAGCTCCCAGGAGACGCAGGAGGGCGCCGCGAGCCAGAACCATAACCAGAACCGGAGCACAGGCTCCAGCGTGATGCGGCTGGAGGATGTTCGGGAAATTGTTGCCAGCATGATTAGGGATTCTTGCCAGCTTGCTCCCGCGGCGTCCCCACTCGCGCCGCCCGCGGCGGCTGAGACAGCCGCCCCATCCCGCGGCCTGGACGAGTGGGCAAACGGCAACGACCCCTGGGCGAGAGGTCGTGCTCCGGATGGGACTGGACCCCAGCGCGGCCAGCCCTCCGACGATCGCCCGGCGGCCCGGGCTTCGTGGGACGCAGTAGGTGCAGACGGGAGATGGAACGACCAGTCCAGCGGCCAGGACTGGAGCGAGGACAAGCAGCGCTGGCACGACGACGACAAGCAGCACTGGCGCTCGAGCGATGCAGATAGGTCGTGGTGGTCGTCGGGCGGGTACACGAAAGGAGACTACCGCGACCCACCAGCCTGGCCAGACTGGCAACATTATCGTACTTGGAAGAAGGCGATGCAGCGATGGGACCGATACACAGATGTGCCGACCTACGAGCGGCACGAGAAGTTCATCGAGTGCCAGCGAGAGGCCAAGGAGACGCTGCAGGCCTTCGTCCATCGCCGAGAGAGACAGTTCCGGGAGGCCGAAGGCAACGACCTCTGGATCTCGGACAAGCTCAGGGGCTTCACGATGGAAAGGAGCCTCGCTATCACCGCAGGGGATACAGAACATTAGGGCCCTCACCCGCGGCGATCTGGAGTACAAGAGTGTGTGTTGGACCATCTGACAGCTGGACTTCACCGCGTTTGAGTGTCTGCTGCCAGGCCGTAGCGCTGGCAGTTTCGCCGACGGTCCAGAAGCGACCGGCGGCGCTCCAGATCCCTCCTCCTCTGCCTTCCCCCACTCCACACAGGAGCAAGGCTGGGTCGAGGACGACGGTGCCGGACCCGAGGGCGACGATGAGCAGTCCGACGACGACTCCGATGACACCGAGTATATGTCACAGGGCGAGATCAATGCCGCGCTGTTGGAGTTGTCGGAGATGGATCTCGACGAGGACGGTGTCGAGAGCTACTTGGCCGGCCTGAAGAAGCGGACGTGGGA